CCACCATTGTTGAGACCTGATAGATTTGCAGTGACAGAAGCTATGTGGACTGTGCATTATTTACCTATAACTGCTCATGCATTATATCCATAACTAAAAGAAATTGCCAGCGTTTACAGAAGGGTTGTTCCTGGTAAAATAACTACCATGAGAATGTACAAAAAATACAGAGAAAATATTTTGTTTCATTCATTTCCTCTCATACAGACTGACTGCATAGTTACTGATTTTGCTTGCTTTCCAAATGTGACATTACAAACAGTCTGATGCACTGTTGACAACTCCCCCTATGTCTGCCCTTCCTTGCCTCAACTATCGCACCATACAATCTAAATGTTCCACCCCATTTTCTCCTACCTCATTCTCAACTACACCTACATCTACTTCTCAGACATCTATCTCCTCTTCACACGCGCAAAAGAAATCCTACATTTCCTAAATCTACCCCGAGTCCCTTACCCATTGTTGTCATGGGGGGCTTAGGAGAAGGAGACTGAGGCCTAAGGCAGGGGATTTCCCCTGCCTTGGACCTGTATACTGAGTCTGGCATGCCATCCCTCTATTGACGTCGAGCCATTCTCTCTCTTCAATGCTATGCTCAATTTCACCAACTTTCCCTTACCAAACTATTCCACAATCCTTGTTTCCTGCCTTTACCTCTTCTCCACGTTTACCTACTCCTTTCCCCATACACATGGATACCCTCCTCTTCCATTCCCCCTTTCCTCACCTCCGACCTCTCCCACTTTCCATCCATTCCATTCCTCCATGGCTTATACCTAACCCTTGTATTTGCTCCCGTTTTCCCTGACTCACCAAAATCAGATATTCCCCCCTCTATCCTTCTCACTCATTTCCTTAGCCATGTTTCCATTCATTCCTCCAGCATTCATGTTTACACTGACGGTTCCAAATCCACCTCAGGAGCTGGATTCGTAGTGACCTTCCCAAATACACTCTCCCTCCTGAATCTAGTGTCCTTACTACAGAACTGTTTGCACTCCTTTTGGCTTTAAGACGCATATACTCACTCCCCTCTTCCTCTTTCACTATTTTTACTGACTCCCGTAACTATTTAACCCTCATAAAGTCTATGCACTCGACCAATCCCCTTGTCTGTAAGATCCAGAACTGGTTGTTCCCTCTGTCCACACGTAATAAATCTGTTAGATTTTGCTGGGTACCCAGCCATGTTGGAATCCCTGGCAATGAACAGGCAGATACTCTTGCACGCTATGCCGCAAGAGTATTAACTACGCTTCTCATATATTCCAGCTACGGATTATTACCCCCACTTTAAAACCTTGTATACCCGATGGCAATCTTTCTGGCCAAGCCTCCACAATAATAAATTACATCTGTAAAACCACCAATCTCCTCTTGGTCAGGTCCAACATCAACGCACGCTTACGTATTGGCCACGTCTAACCGACGCCTTTCTAATGTCACGCTCTGACCCGCCCATATGTCCTCTATGTAATGTCCCTCTTTCAGTTCCATACATTCTCTTGTCCTGTCCACGCTTTAATACAGCACGTACCTCTGCCTTTCCACACCTATCCTCCCTTCACCGACCTCCCAACATATCAGACATCTTTACAGAATCCCACAGCTTCTGCCTGGACAACCTGTTCTCCTTCCTCAGACGCATAAATATCCTTCACTTGATCTAACTCTGTTACCTAAATCACCATAACCCTTTCCCCCATCAACCCTTACCCAACTTCAACCTTTCAACGCTACTCTAGATAGTTGACACATATCAACTATCACCTGACATCCCCCTTTACTATACCTCCCTATAGTACTATATGACTAGATGTCTAGCACATTTATTTCGCTTTTAACCATTCTGCCTCAACATGTTTTATACGGTCTTTTCTTCCTCTTTCTTTCTCTTTATCTTCCCCCACCCTTCCCCTATCCGATTCTTAAGGTGTAAGAGCCGTGTTGAAAGGATGAAAGGCTGACCTTGTGCCAGTCATGAAGGCCTGAGGGAACCATGGGGCACGGTATTCCCCTGTTTTGTTGTTTAGCCCTTACCCTTCAAGGGGACCCTGAGGGGTGGATTGTTTATTTCCCCAACATAGCCAGAGCTTCCTATGGCCAGTAATGAAGAGGTAAACTCATATTAAAGGCAATGAGGCTTGCCCCTTCATCAGATAGCCCCACCGATTCAGACTTTCCCGGCTCCCCAACCCCAGGCTCTGCTTTGACCACGACTCCGAACACTACAACTACTCAAGTCGAGACTCCTAGGCTCCCAACCTCTTCAACTTCATCAACTCTACCCCACAACCTTCTTCACCAATCACCTCGTCTTCCTTGATTACTACCTTACAGCCTTATTCTCCATCTCTCCGTAATACTACCCCCCTCAACAACACTCCCTCTTCCACACGTCCCCGTCCTTCTACCTCAAACCCTACAAATATTTTAAATACTCTATTTAGCCAAGCCAAATGGGACCGATTTTCGTGATCCCCCCTACAGCTCCTTACTCAGGCAACACTCTTCCCTTTCAACAATGTCTCCAAAAGCACGTGGGCAGTCTCCTTCCGTATCCGACTCGATCGTTCCCGTCTCGTTACAGTTACATCTGAAACTGAAGCTATAGCATTATCAAATCTAACTGATTTTTCTGGCAATCCCCTTCCTGCAGAACTTCATCCAACTTTTAATACCTGTACCGGAACTGTCTCTCTCTCCCCAGCAAGCTACCCTATGAATATCAATTGGTCAGATTGTGGAAAGTACTTACTCGGCTGCCTCAAAGACCGTGGTGTGATATCAGTACAGTGCTACACCATTCCTCCTAGAGGTCATCGAAAAAAAAAACAATATTGCTAGAATTACTTTCCGTTCACTTGATCTTCCCTTTCGTATCTAAATTGGTGGACAATCCCTCCCTGTTCGACCATACCAACCTCCTCCCCGTCAGTGTCAAAACTGTTGGCGCTTTGGATATCCTGCCAAACACTGCCGTTCCCCAGACAGATGCCTCCTATGTGTCCAACCCGGTCATAACCGACCAAACTGCTCTGCACAATCACGCACTGTGGCGGCCCTCATAATGCATTTTAAGAGGCTGTCCCACTTACAAGTTTGGGTCTCAGATACAAACTTGGTCTCACTCTACGTGAAGCCAGACAGGAAGCACGTCAACGAGGCTTCTCTCATGCTCCCTACTCTAGGAATGTCGCTCGCTCTTCCCCTCCCCCTCCAACCCAAGATTTTCCTACACCCTCCCATATACCTACTTACTTCCCCACTTTCACTTCTACTTCCAACCTTTCCCAGTCAAATTATTTTGCCACTCTAAGTCCAGACACCCCAATCTCAACCACAGCTCCAATCTCAACTACAGCCCCAACACCATCCCCTCTCCCTCCCCGCACTACTCGCAGCAGACTAAACGTTCTACCCCTTCTTCAAACACACATTCACCTCCAGCTACCTTTGCTTTTATTCCTCAGACACCAGTCTCCTCTTCCCCTCATAAGAAACTTTTGTGTCACAAGACTCTCCAACCGAGAATACTGGAGAAACAATGGAAGATATTCAAAGCTATATGCTCGAGACAAAATTCCACAACTCATGCTCCCTCCACACTCGAAGTAACTGCCGATATTCATCATCCTCCTACTCATATCCCCCCTACACCCTTTACTCCTACTCCCTCTCAACACGGCCTATCTCCCTCAGCTCCGTCTCCTACCGATATAGCTCTCCTACATAGGAATATCCGCGGTTCCCGTTCTCACAGACCAGACCTTCGTCATATCCTTTCTTATAACCCATCCATTATCTACTTTCTGCTTTGACAACCTGTTCTTCCTTAGACGCATACATATCCTTCATTTGATCTAATTCCCTTAGCTAAGCCACCATAACCCATTCACTCATTAACTCCTTTACCCATCTTTAACCTTTCAATATTACTCTAAATAGTTGACGCACAGCAACTCATCCGTCACCACCCTTTACTATACTTTCCTATAGTGCTGTATGACCTTAGATGTGTAGCACATTTATTTTGCTTTTAACTATTAATAAATCAACTAGCCTCTCTGAATCTAACTCCTTTAGTTTACCGACCCCTGACTTCCCTTTAACCACGGTCTCGGCTACTGTTCGTACACCTCCCTCCTCTACATATGCTGGCAACTTCACCCATCCCAAATCATCTACCCAGGCTATTTCTCAACCCTTAAAAGACATCTTATCCTCACTCTCATCTTCCAGCCCACCTCCTGAACAATCATCTTCGCGTTGTACCTCAAACTTATCATCCACACCTCCACAATACAGCCTTACTTCACACCACTCCCTTCTCCTCCCGTCCTCATCCATCTACAATTCCCACTTACTCAAATCAGAGGTCAGCGAGAGTCGTACACCAATATTGCCAAGATTACCTTCCGTAGACACGACCTCCCCCATGAAGCTGATAATAGTGGAGGGATCTGCCCTGTCCGACCATATCAACTCCTTGTCCACTAGCGTCCTCTATGTGCCCAACCTTTCAAATTGCTATGCTCACTCACGCACGTGTATCAATTATGGTGGATCCCATAATGTATTTTATGGGATCTGTCCTGCCTATAAGGTCAGTTATAGACTCAGAGAGAGTCAGGTATCAGTTCTCAGATTCAAACTAGGCCTCACTCTCCGTGAGGCACGACTTGAAGTGCGCCGACTAGGTTTTCTCTCTACCTATTCCAAAACTGTCCTTTGTTCCACTCCCCTCCCATCTACTCAAGGTGTCTCAGCATCTCCCCCAGTAATTCCCTCTACCCCGAACCATCCTACCTCTACACCCTTTCTCCTCTACTCAAATTCTCTTTCGTCTAAATCCAGAAACTACCATCTCTGCAATTTTTCCGATGCCTACCTCTTCTTCTCACTCTACCAGTCGCACTAGGCAATCTAAACGTTCCACTCCATCTTCTCCTACATCCTCCTCTTCTTCTATTACTCCTCACAAGAAAACCTTTGTTTCATAGACCTCCCCCCCAGAAAAACTCCTGAAGACATCCAAAAATTCTTAAATATGACCCAAGAAAATTATCCATTCCCTCACCCCCCGCCAATCCCTCTATTCCTATTACCTCCATCCCCTTCCTCCTCAAGTTCGCCCTAACCTTCTTCCACCCACTCTCTCCCAGCACACCCCATTCTCTCCTTCTCCATGTGCACCATTCCCTCATTATAATTATCCTTATTGCTCACGTGACTTCCTTATGTCGCATTAGTGTCCTTCTTTGGATCTTCACCTTCCTGACATTCTTCCAGATACATCACCACTTTCCCCATTTCCTAATCTCATTCCCTGGATTATCCTCCTCCTACTTCTTCAGGTCATTTCTACTCGTATAACCCACTGATTGTTTCATAATGGATCTTTTGACAGTTTTTCTTAAACAAGGTTCCCTTTTCTTCCTCAGCCACAAATACTCTCTTACTTTTTACACATACCAGCTGCTAACAATTACCCTCACTTCTCATTGGTCTGACCTTACCACAAATAAACTATAAAGTCACCCATCTTCCTAAACATGACCCAGGAGAACGTTTCTCTCTCACAACCACCTTCCAGTCACTCTATTCTTATTCCTTCTACATTCAAAGAAATTGCCAATATCCATCCTCCTCCTCAAGTTCCCCTTATCCTTCTTCCTCCCAACACACCCCATTCTCTCCTTCTCCGTGTACATCACTCCCTCTTCTTTCCCCATTGTCCTTACCGCTCCCACCTGGATGCTCACGTGACTCCCTTATGTCGCAACCGTGTCTTTCTCTGGATCTTTCCCTTCCTAACATTCTTCTAGGTACTTTACCACCTTCAGCCGTTCCCTGACCTCATTCCCCGGAGTCTTCTCCAATAACCATTTCTTCCCTTATTACCCTCTGATTGCTTCCTGGCTCTTTTGCAGTTTTCCTCATACAATGTTCCTCGTCCTTCCTCAGACACATAGATACTCGCCATTTGACCTAACCCCCCTACGACCTCAACCACTTCCCCCTTCTACTAATCCCCGCCTATCCCCATTTGCCCCCCCCCCTCTTCACTACCATACTATCCTATAGTGCTCTACTACCTTGGACATGTAACACATTTTTCTTAATCGTTTTTTTTTTTTTTTTACCTTTTTCGCCACAATACTTTACCATAGTTCTATGTGACCTTTGATGTCTAGCACATTTATTTGTTTTATTAACCATTCTTTTACCTTGTCCCTTTCCTTTTCTTAATATCTTCCATCCACTTCCTAAAATGTGAGAGCCGTGATGACTTCGAGTCAGTCCTGAACGGCCTCAGGGAGCCATGGGTATTCCCAGTGTAGTTTATCTAGCCCTTACTCCTCATGGAGACCCTGAGTGGTAAACCATATCTACTCCCGAGCTCAGAGTTAAGAGGAGGAGCTCCGTGGGACGACTAAGGAAATCGTCGCTGGGTATATAGACCTGACCTGTTGTAAGGACCTTGTGATTGATTGGCCGAGAGCCTGCCAAGCACCTCGCCATGAGGGACCCTCTTGACTGGAAGTGAAATGTAGATGCAGCTATATTTACACACACAAATACATATATATTATATTATATATATACATATATATATATATATATATATATATATATATATATATATAATATATATAATATATATATATATATATATATAATATATATATATATATATATAATATATATATATATTATATATATATATATATATTATATGTATACACATATATGTATATATATATATATATATATATATATATATATTTTATATATATGTATATATGTAATATTTATAGTACTATAGTATATATATATATAATATATATATGTATATATATATATATATTTATCTATATAATGTATATCACATAATATATATATATTATATATATATAATAGTTTATTTATAATATATACATTATATATAAGAATATATATTTATATGATATATAGATATGATATATATATATATACTATATGATATAATATATATATACTATATGATATATATATATATATAATATATATATAGTATATTATGTATATGTATATTTTATATATACTATATATGTATATATTATATATAATATTATATATATATATATATATATATTATAACATATATATACGTATTTAATACATTACTATACTATATAGTATATATATTACTATTATATAATGTAAATATATATGAATATATATATGTATAAATATTCATATTTATATGCTGTAGTAATAGATATACATATATATATATATAAGAATATATAGATCATAAAATAAGATAGTAATAGATTAATATATATTATGTATAATAGATATACGTATAATATCGATATACATAGTATAATATGAATGATCTTTATAAGGAGTATAGAGTGATAGAGCTACATATATAGTAATGATGCGTAACGAGCTAAATAGCTAGAGTACGGAGTATATGGCTCAGTGCTAGATAACCGATATAGAGATGTGTGAAGTAACTTATAGAGATGAGATAGATAGATATATATATTACAGAATGAGAACTATATATATATATATATATATATATCAATATATATATATATATAATCTATACTCTATATATATAATATAGTTTCAACCTATATATAATAAGCGCGACATATCATCTAAGCCCCCTATCCCTCTATACATATA